ATCGGGCTCCCTGCTCAGCGGGAAGCCTGCTTCTCCCTCTCCCTCTCCCCCTGCTTGTGTTCCCTCTCTCGCTGTGTCTCTCTCTGTCAAATAAATAAATAAAATCTTGAGAAAAAAAAAAAGAAATACAATAGACCTGACATGTAAGATTACCCCTGCTGTAAATAAGCGAAACAGTGAGAAATCAGATGCGAAAACATAAGGTAACATAGACTAACCATGTGAAGGGGATGCATGGTGGCTCTCTTCTTTAGGTGCTAAACAGCTCCAAGAAATACATCCACCTAAATCCAGCCTAATAGATGCAAAGAAATGCCCTGGGTATCCTTATCTTTTATTGCAAAAAAACCCCAAAAAACAAAAAAAATTTTTAAGATTTTATTTATTTGAGAGAGAGAATGAGAGAGAGAGAAAGAGAGAGCATGAGAGGAGGGAGGGTCAGAGGGAGAAGCAGGCTCCCTGCTGAGCAGGGAGCCAGATGCGGGACTCGATCCTGGGACTCCAGGATCGTGACCTGGGCCGAAGGCAGTTGCTTAACCAATTGAGCCACCCAGGTGCCCCAAACCATCTCAAAATTTATTCCTTTAACTTAAAAACAATAAACATTATTTTTCACTGGTCTGTGGGTTCACTGGGGGTTTCTTTTGGTCTGGGCCGGCACACCTGGACTTAGTCTACAATGGTCTGGCTCACATGTCTGGGGGTTGGCAGGCTAGTTGGTCTAAGGGGCCACACTCATATGTTTGGCAATTGGTTAGATGTCAGATGAGGTCTCTCCTCACCCATCAGGTCAGCTATGAGCTTTTCACAAGTTCGTGGAAGAGTTCCCAACAGCAAGAGAGAGCAAGCCACAATTTGTAAGCACTTTTTTAAGAACCTCCTTGTATCAGATTTGCTAATGTCCCATGGAACAAAGCAAGTCACAGGGCCAAGCCTAGATTCAGAGAGAGACTACACCTCTTGTGGGGAGAAGCTGGAAAATACCAAGGCTATTCTGTTCAATCTACTATATCTTGGAAGCCAAAATAGAGAGATTGAATGATATTCCTTATAACCAGAATGCGTGATTTATCTCAGGGTTTAAACATATTTCCATGGGGGTGGGGGGAGACTTTTCTGTTTAACTACTGAGGTCATCTAGTAAGGCTGCCATCTTGGGTCCACTACTGCACCTGAGGGAAAGAGATAAAACCAAAGAAGGCAGAGACTCTGTAGGCCACATGAAGGAATTTCAGTCTTGATCCCAAGAGCAATGGGAAGCCATAGAGCATTTTAAGGAGAGATAAGATCACTTGGGCTGCGGTGAGGATAGTAATTCTGGAAACTTTTTCAGGAAGGGGAATAGTGAGATAAGCCTTTAGTCGTAGAATATGGGGTTAAGGGAAAGATTTTGTTGTTGTTGTTTCCTTTGGGTTTTTTTGTTTGTTTTGTGTTTGTTTTTTTGTTTTTTAAGGAAAAGATGGTTGAAACTAGAGCTTGATAGAATACTGATGGAAGGATCCAATATTGCAAGAGGTTAGAAGGAGAGCCCTGGGAATTGGGAAGGGAAACTAGAGCACGCATGAAATGGTTGGCTTACAAAAAATTATCATACAATAAAATTGTATTTTTGTTTACAGTTCTATAGATTTCAACATATGCCTAGATTCATGTAACTACCACCACAACTGGGATACAGAAGAGTCCCATCTCCCCAAACCTTCCTTTTTGCTATCCCTTAATAGTCACTCCTCCACCCCTAACTCCTGGCAACCACTAACTTATTCTCCATCACTACAGTGTTCATCTTTTCAAGAGTGTCACTTTGAGACTAGCTTCTTTCATTCAGCATAATGCTTTTATTGTTATGTTGTTATGATGTCAAGCTGTTGGGTGTATCAATATTTCATTCTTTTATATTGCTGAGTAGTATCCCATTGGGGTCAGCTTCTGATAGCATTCCCCAGGTCAGTAAATGGTTTCACTATTCTACCCATTACTCGGGCCAAAACCTTGGCTTCCTCCTTGACTCGACTCTCTTCTTCAACCTACACATCCAATCCATCAGTAAATCCTGGTGGCTTTACTTTCAGAATAGACCTGGAATCTGACCACTTCTTACTATCTGCACTGCTGTCATCTTGTTCAGGCCACCATCATCCTTTGCCAGGGCAAGTGCTTCTACTCTTACCCCTCCACCTTCAGTCTGTTCTCCACACAACAGCTAGATTAGAGACTTAAATCTGATCAGGCCATTCTTCTGCTCAAAACTCTCCAGTGGTTTCAGTGTTAACAATCCATAGTTGTCACCATGGCCTAAAAGACCCACATGATTGGGGCCCTGACTACCTCTCTGATCTCTTTTCCTGCCACCATCCCCTTCACTCACTCTATATCAGCTCTAGGGGTCTCCCTGCTATTCCGTTAGCAAGCCAAGCATGCTCCTGCCTCAGAGCATTTGAATCTGCTGTCTCCTCTGTCTGGAATACTCCTTTCCTAGATATCCACGTGGCTCAGCCCATCAAATCAATTCCAGTTTCTGCTTATCAGTCCCTCTCTAACACCTAAAATAGCAGCTACCTGACACCACTGTCTAACCCTTATTCTGCTTTATTCTTCATCAAAGCACACGTGTATTTCTTTTTCTGTCTCTCAACACTAGAAAAATCTTTTAGGATGAGGACTTTTGTTCACCGCTTAACAAGCATGTAAACGGGTGCCTTGCTTGGCATATAGTGTGAGTTCAATGAATATTTTTTATTTAATAAGTTATAGAGAGAAAAAACAGAATGGGAACACATGTCGATTTCTAGATTTTAGGACATTCTACATTTATTTCATTTCATTTCAGTATAGTTATCATATAGCGTTGTATTGGTTTTGGGTGTACAATATAGTGATTCTGTAATTCCATACATCACCCGGTGCTTAAGTGCACTCCTTCATCCCCGTCATTTGTATCACCCATCTTCCCACCCACCATCCCTCTGGAAACCATCAGTTTGTTCTCTATAGTTAAGGGTCTGTTTCTTGATTTGTCTCTCTCCTCCCCCTACCCCCACATTACTTTTTTTTCTTTTAAGATTTTATTTATTTGACAGAGAGAGACAGCAAGAGAGGGAACACAAGCAGGGGGAGCTGGAGAGGGAGAAGCAGGCTCCCCACTGAGCAGGGAGGCTTGATCCCAGGATGCTGGGATCATGACCTGAGCCGAAGGCAGATGTTTAACTGACTGAGCCACCCAGGTACCCATTGTTTATTTTGTTTCTTAAGTTCCACATATGAGTGAAATCATATGGTATTTGTCTTTCTTTGCCTGACTTATTTCACTTAGCATTATACTCTCTAGTTCCATCCACATTGTTGCAAATGGCAAGATTTCATTCTTTTTTATAGCTAAATAATATTCCATTGTGTGTATACCACATCTTATTTATCCATTCTCTATTGATGGACACTCAGGCTATTTTTATAATAATCTAGCTATTGTAAATAATGCTGCAATAAACATACGGGTGCATGTATTCCTTTTATTTAGTGCTTCTGCATTTTGGGGGTATAGGGCATTCTGCACTTCCTGTTACTTATACAGTAAGATAATCAGGGGAAGATGTAGGAGAAGTGTAGGGCTGCAGATTTGCACAGAGAGTGGAAAGCAAGTTAACTAGAAAAATATAATGAAATATCCAGGCATTGTTCAGAGCCCATTTAAGGTTGAAATTTAATAACTCAGTGATGCCAGTCTGTTCAGCAGGACAATTTTTTACAACAAGATACAGGCACGGAGAAGCATGTTGGTCCATCCAGGGTGGAAGATTTAGGTGGGGAAAAGAGAGTGGCGGGCAGGCTTAGGAGTAAGAGTAGGACTGTAATGGAATACCGTTGTATCTAAGAATGTATTAAGAGGGTAAGTGAAGAATGTGAACTAATGGGGGCTTTCAACGGATTAGAGGTACTGATAAAGTGAAAAAAGTTAAGTTCTTGAGCAGTCAAGCTGAAAGGACATCAGGCTGTAACTGGACAGAAGGATGTTCCAATTACTAATTTGTGACGCGATAACGTTTCTGGCGAGAAGGTCCAGGTTTTCTATTGGGATTGGGAGGCTGATGTAAGGGTCGCTAGAGATGACGCCCGGACAGTAACCGGGCAGTCTGAATGAAATTATCAAGATGGAAGATAGAGGAGAGAAAAGTAAGACAAGAAGCTGGATGCACCAATGAACAGATGATCTGTAAGAGGCGATTACACAGGTGGCAAAGTCTTAAGTGTCGGAGAAGCAAGGGTTTTTACAAGAGGTGACAGTATTCGGCACATAGCTAGCTCCCCGAGCTTCTGAACCTGGGAAGTGTGAATACTAATTCTCCAGGGGATGAAGTATCCTCGGGGGACAGCCAGGTCTCAGTCGGAGACGTTCAGAGAAAACTTATCTGGAAGCGGGAATCTCAGGGAAAGATCGATTTGATAGCAGAGAGTTGGGGAGGGGACCGACGCAGAAAACACGGACACCCCCCGTCCTTTATTTACCTTCCTCCCAACCTGACGCCGCGCCACACCAACCTCCGCAACTAGAAAACAGGCAGAGAATAGTGAACGCAGACCGGGAGTTCTGGGCTGTAGTGCGCTATGCCGATCGGGTGTCCGCACTAAGTTCGGCATCAATACGGTGACCTCTCGGGAGCGGGGGACCACCAGGTTGCCTAAGGCGGGGTGAACCGGCCCAGGTCGGAAACGGAGCAGGTGACAACTCCAGTGCTGCTCAGACCCGCTCTTTTCAACTCCGCGCGGAAGTCCTCACACCGGAACGCCGCGGAGTCCGCACTTTCCCATTGGCGGAAACTTCCGCCAGCGTCAGTGCACTTCCGCCAACGACTCGGTCGGGCGGGGCAGTCCCTAGAAGTCACTTCCGCTTGACCCCGCCCCTTGGTCCCTTTTTGGCCGCTTCCGGCCTTAGCCCCCGCCCCGTCCAATGTGGCCCCGCCCCCGCCCCGCCCCGGGCTCGCGGCCCCGGCCCCGCGGCACCGCTTCCGGTGCGGGCCCCGCCCCGGCTGTGGCCCCCGGCTGCGGAGGAGTCCGAGACGCAGCTGCTGCGCCGGGGCCTGAGCGGCCGCCGCCACCCCCGCCGGCGGACCCGGAGCGCCCCGCACAGGTAAGCCGCGTGGGGCCCGGCTTCTTCAGTCGCGCGGGAGCGGGGACTGTGGCAGGTGGAGGGGCCGGAGGGGTGCGAGGGGAGGCAGGTGTGTGGGGGGAGACGCGGAGGCGCGGGCGAGCAGAGCCCGGGGGCTGCGGAGGAGAAGTGAGAGCGCCGGGAGGAGACCCGAAGCGCCCTGCAACCCTTCGGGTGATTTGAGATAAAGAGATGGGAAGAGTAAGGGCCCCCGGGAACTGAGAGGGAAAGGATAGGTGGGGTTGGGGCGATCGAAGAAGAGCCAGCGGATTGGCTGGGAGGGCTTGGTAGAGGTAAAAGTGATAGGGCTGGACTGGGGGGCATAAAGAAGGGGGGGCTGGCGTAACCGGGGAAGGAGGTATGGGGCTGCAAGGGGACCGGGGCCAAAGGGATCCGGCTGCGAAGGTAGCGGGGATGGTAGGGGAGGCCGGGTTCAAAGCTACAAGCAGTCCGTTGCACCGGGCATGGTGGTCCGGGAACTTTAGGGGGAATGGGGGAGGGGGCCGAGTGAAGGGATGAAGTGGCTTAGATTTCTGAGACACAAGTTTTCTAAATGTAGGCAGGTGGCATTGTTGTTTGGATCTTTCTGCTTAGGGACGGGGTAGATGGGCTCTTTGGGGGAGGGCGTGTGTATTGAGTTGTGGAACTGAGTCATCTCAATCTTACTAAAGAAGCAGTGAGACACCTCCCCCTCTGCTGGGGACAGCACACTGAGAAGATGGTGCCACAGGACAAGAAGCAGTTGTTCAAAGACTGGCAGGACTCAGTTGAAAGATGATTCCTCTTGTGATAGGTTGACTGTAATGATGATAAGGAAAATTAAATTGATCGCCGAATTATTTGCTCTTTATTCTTTTAATTTTTTTGACGCCAATTGTTTTTATCCTAAATGAATACTTTTTTTGCCAGCTGAATTTAATGTGGGTGTAAATCTCATGTTTTGTTACACTATAAAAAGGGCTAAAGCAGAATGAAAGCAATGCTACAGGCATAACTCACACTTTCTCAAGTGCCAAGAGGAAGTAAAGGCAGTAAGAGGCAAATTGGAATTTGAATCTTTCACAGATTACAAAAGGCAAAGGCAGTGCTTCTCAGATAAACAATGAGAATTTTTATCTTTACTTTTTTGCCTAGCTTTAAAAAAAAATTGCACCTTTTCCCCCTACCCATTAAAAGATTAGTACATGCAAGCAGTTTTTATTGCTAGGGATGTGATTCCTTCCCCATGAATTTTTGAAGATGCTGAAGGCACGTAGTATTTTTTTATCTTTATACTCAGTTCTAAAACAGCGAAACAATGCAAATATCAAGTCTCAACCTGTGCAGTGAAGCTTCTTTCATGTGATGACAACATTGTACACCATGTTGCAAGTCCTGTTCACCTAAAATTTGCCCGTGCATAGTAATCCATTCAGTTATGGAGACGTGCTGAGGAAACATAACTCAAGTGAGGTTTGTTGGGGGTGGAGATCTGGAGAGGAGGAAGGGAAAGGGGGAGCTAGAGTGGAGAGGAGGGTGTGAAAGGGGGATGTGTTTGGAGATTGATTGGTAAGAATGCTGATAAACCTGCCCCCAGAATACTTTTGGCCTGAAAGCCTTTTCTGTTTGCATTTGTCATAGAATATCATAGTAGAAGTGAATCAGAAGGAAAAGGGATGTGAAGAGATTTACTTGGCTGTTTATGAAAAAGAAGCATTAACTTGTTAGATAATATTGATATCTGTTTCAATTTAATTAACTTTAAAATCTCCAGAGGAATTCCCCCGTTTGTTTTTTGAGTGACCATTGCAATTTGAAACTCTTGCCTCCTTGCGTGTTTCTTTCTTTCATGTTGTTGAAATTGGATTCTTTTTGAGGCTGTAATGTACAGTTAGCGTGGCTCAGCCCACTTGAAAAGCAGGCTGGCAATTCGATCTGGGAAATTTGAAAAGTTTTAAACCGAAGAGCAGTTTGCTATGTTCTGCTTTTGTATGCGAGAAATCATTCTGTCTGCCTGATAGCTCTGTGTCTAGCTAGGATGGTACTTTCTTTCTCTGTTGGGCCTGGGAACATAAGCCGTGTTCTCTCCTTTGTAGGCAGGCCCTTCTTTCCTTCATTATTGTGGTTTTCATACTCACAACCTTTGTACAGTGCAAACCTAGTTGCCTTTTCAGTGATAAATAAGGCTAATGTTTGATAATGTCAAGAGAGAAAGATCAGAACACAGGCTAGATACCGTCAGGATTTACTTTTTTTTAAACCACAGTTCACCACTGCTGAGATTCATCCCGCATTTCCTCTCTTAAATCCCGTTTTCACCATTCCCTACCACTCTCCCCCCCCCCAACCCCCAGCTCCCACAACCACTCCTCTTAGAACCCAGGCTTTGGAGCATATGTCTAGTGTTCAGAACTCACACCCTTTACTAGAAAAAGTAAAGTCTTTTAATACCTGTTTTACCATTTTTTTCCCCTTGTTTCTTCTTCTTTGTGGTTTCTGTTAATCACTTAAGGTTTAGCCCCAGTGTGCCGGCTGGGCTGTACCCAGGTTCAGAGCCATGCCCATCGGCGGCTGAAGCTTGAGGCCGTGATGGAGCCGCTGGCGCAACAGAAGCAGCCTCGGCAGCCTCCGCCACAGCAGGCCCCACGCCTGGCTCCTCTGCAGATGGACGCCAGAGAGAAGCAGGGACAACAGATGAGAGAAGCCCCGTTCTTGTATGCCCAGAAGCTGGTCACACAGCAGACTCTTCTTTCTGCCACCCCCGGGAGGCCATCTGGCAGCCCCGCCCTGGGTCCCTTGGCCAGAGGGCCACCAGCCGCGGCAGTGGCCCGAGTTTTTGAACGGAGCAATGTGAACTCCGAGCCCGAGGAGGAGGAAGGAGGTCTGGAAGATGAGGATGGGGATGATGAAGTTGCTGAGGTGGCTGGGAAAGAGGCCCAGGCCGCGTCCAAGTATTTTCATGTGCAGAAAATGGTTCGCCAGGACCCCAGAGCAGCGTCTGGATCTGGTCTGCTTCCAGCACCAGGGCTCCCACTGCGTGGACAGCAAGCTAAAGAAGACCATACCAAAGATGTTTCCCAGGCCCCACCTTCAGTCTCCACAGCTGGGCAGCCGAGCTGGAATCTGGATGAGCAACTCAAGCAGGTCAGTCTTCGTGGTGCGGGGGTCATTTGTTCTTCCTAAAGGCTGGCCGAGAGGAGCCCTGTCAGGGCCAGGATCTCTGCCCGTCCGTGCCTTCTCACCCCACCTCCGTGACCCAACCGCCTAGCCATGAACAGACTTTGAGTTTTTTTTCTCTCATACTTGTTTTCTTGATTACAGCAATGAAGTGTGCAAGTTACTCCTAATACAGATTGATTCAAGTGGGATGTGAAAGAATGTCAGTACAATCTTTTTTTTTTTTTTTAAAGGAAGGGTGAGGTTGCAACAGTGTTATAAGGGATATCTAAAAATGCAATGTGTGACTCTAATTACAGTTCTTTTAGTGAAAGAACAATCTTGCCTAAGACCGTTCCTTAGCTCCAGGCTAAAACAGGATCATGCTCTTTAAGGACAGTTTTGTTGTTTTGCAGTTAAGTATAGCTGACAAGAAGTGCTTGCATCGTGTATATTTTCCAACAAAGAGCATTGCAGACATGATTTCATTTCACCCTTACACCACCCCCTTTGAAACAGGAAAGGGTAGACCTCAAAATTCCCAGTTTAGCCAAGGCAAGCTTATGTGATTTTCAAACATGAGTGAGCATTACAGTCCTCTCAGGAGCTTTTAAAAAAATACAGATTCTAGGGTCTTAAAGAATTATTTTGGGGTGGAGCCTAAGGAATCTATGTTCTTAACCAAGCCTTTGGCTTCTAATTACTCTTCTCTTTCTGACCCGCAGTGCTTGAGTTTTTCCTCACCCAAAGAATGGGAGTGCTGATGGGTTGTTCCAAGTTAAGTGACTCATTGATGCTTAGGGAGTTCGTGACAAAGCTGGTAGTACCTGGGTACTCCCCATAAGTACATGCTCTTCAGTGGCCCAGTGGTACTCTTTGGAAATCCATTGTGAAGAGCTGTGGGTTTTCACAGGGCAACTGAGAAGTCATCTAAAAGGTCCTTTGGAACCTGAAAAATCCGCATCTTTGTGTAGAGGAGCCCTGTGTAGTTGATCAGAGTTTTAGCACAGCAGTGTTTGCAGTGGATTCCAGAGCAGGCAAAGTGGGGGTTCAATTCCCATCGCTTCCATTTATTACCCTTGTGATCTTTCGGGAGGGCTCTCAGTCTCTCTGAGCCTGGGTCTTTCATCTGTGAAGTGAAAATGACGAAGCGGGCCTCCCAAGGACGGTGTGAAGTTAGACCGAGCTATGGCGCAGTAGGTAGTAGTGCTCCGGGTGCTCTTTTATGCATGGAGTGCCATGCTCTGCTGTATCCCCACGGACAGGCTCGGAAGCAGGCAAAAGATGCTGAGGTGCCCTGGGGTTTTCCCTCAGCTCACCAGGCGGCAGTGGCTGAGCTGGGACTCAGATCAGAGTCCCAGCTTCCACGACAGCGGCAGCCTGGCCGCCAGCCCAGACCCGCCTCCTGGCTGATTGCTTTAGTTTAGCAAAACATCTGTGAGTTGCCTGCAGCCCCCGCGCTGCCTTGTGGCTGGCAGAGTTCCATGCCGGCCGGCCGCTGAGTCAGCTGGGCGGCTGAGTCAGCTCGGAGCGGGATCCCGCCCTGACAGCACTGGGAAAGTTCAGGCCCAGAGGCGGCTGGGCTGCCCCCGCCTTGGCAGCTGGCCAGCCTCCGCGTGTGTGCGGTCGTTCCTAGAAAGTGCAGCCGCGTGCGAGGAACAAGTGGAGCTCCAGAGCCTGTCTGTCTTCAGGAAGTGTAGCAGGTGTTGAGGTCAAGCCATTAGAGCTTTGAAAAAAGACTTCAGAAGCGGCGTGTGTGTGCACACTCGGGTGCACTGTGGCAGGCACCCAGCGCCCTGTTCTGGGCGCGGCAGCCCCATGCCTACACACTTCAGTGCTCAGGGGCTGGCTGTTGGTTTCTGAAACCCTTTGAGTTCATTTTAAGTTTCTGAGGCGTACTCACTAATTATAGACTGCCTGGCAGAGCACCTGCCAGAATGTTTTATAAACACCAGCAGAGCTGAGACCTAATCTCACACCCTAAATTTCCCTTTCCCTTGGATTTGGAGATCGAGAACTGGGTTAGGGGGTCATTGTTACAATGACTTTGAAACCTGAGATGCATACCTCCTTTTCTTTTTTGAATTTAATTTTACAAAATTGCCTTGGTCTGTGCCCTCCTCCTTTGTCTAAACCTGCCTTTAAAGGAGTAAGTAAGGGGCTTCTGGGTGGCTCAGTGGGTTAAGCGTCTGCCTTCAGCTCAGGTCATGATCCCAGGGTTCTGGGATCGAGCCCCGCATCATGCTCCCTGCTCAGTAGGGAGTCTGCCTCTCCCTCTTCCTCTCCCTTCCCCCCCCCCCCCGGTGCTCTGTCACGTTCTCTCGCTGTCTCTGCTCTCAAAATAAATGAATAAATGTTAAAAAAAAAAAAAGGAGTAAATAATATGCTAGGGATTAAAAAACTTTTTTTAAAGTTGTGCTTATGAAGTGGGGCTGAAAAAATATCCTTGGGGAGAGCCTGTAGAAACCATTACAGACCATGAAACTAGCTTTTGTTTCTTATGGGTTAACTTGCAGAGAGCAGAAATGGAGTATCCCTTGCTCCAGAAACAAAGATCTTCTGCAGGTAATACAAAATGATCTCACTGTCAATATGTTGAGGTGTCCATTTTGTTCTTTTATACAACAGACTTTGTTACAGAGGCTTTCCTGGGCCAGGCCTGAGCTCCATGGACTAAGGAACTCACAGTCTAAGCAGAGGCAGTGTGTGGAAACCTCAGGGGTCATTGGGTTTCGGGTTGCAGTAATTTCACTCTGTCCTAAGTCAGCTGAAGCCCAACTGCCCAGTCTTAGCTATGCTGTTCGATATTTTTTTTTCCTAAAAATTTTAATTTATTTATTTGAGAGAGAGAGAGAGAAGGAACACAAGCTGGGGGAGAGGGAGAAGCAGACTCCCTGCTGAGCAGGGAGCCCGATGCAGGGCTTGATCCCAAGACCCTGGGATCACAACCTGAGCCAAAGGCAGATGCTTAACCTACTGAGCCACCCGGGAGGCCTATGCTGCAGATATTTTAAAACAAGGTTTTGTTTCAGACATTCACATACCAAGGTAAAAACATTAATTTTGTCTACAGCATAGCTAGCCTAGCTTGGTAAGCCAATGGGGATACTCAAATAATATTTTGTAAGACTTTGGGGGGTGCAGGTCAGCAGGCATCTGCCAACGAAAGAGCAAAATTTAAAAAGCTTAAGGTCTCCACAGATTATCTTTTGTAATCCCTTTCTGAGAACACGTGAAGTCAGATAATTTTATGGATTCTCTTTAAAGAAACTCTTAGAAAGTAATTGCTTCTTAAGGCCCAGATCGTTAGACAGAGTATAGTATTCTCTGACACCAGAGTGATGGGAAGATGGATAATGCCATTGAGCCAAGCATTCTAAAGCCCATCAGATTTCTATGGGCAGAGTAAATAATTGTAAAACAAGGCAACAGACAAAGAGCTGCGTGTCCCTTCTCTCGAGGGAGATCAGTAGAGCCCTGTCAGCATACAACCAAGTGGGGGGTGTTGCTGACCTATTAGGGGTGGTCATCTGTCCTCCTGGGAAGAGGGTAGTTTAGGCAATACAGGCTTTGTCTGTCTTGAGCCTATTAATGGAGCCAGGTTTCCAGAAGTAGAAAGATGAGCAATGGCTTGAGAGGCATGGGGAGCCAAAGCGTGTATGTTTGATTTTTTGCATACTTCAGCAGTCACCTCGGTTACTGAGTGTGGGAAGGAGGAAGGATGGCTGACTGCTTGGTCTCTGGAATCTATTACCAAGAGTTCCTCTAAGTAGTAAGGTGCCGTTTCTTGGGCTAGTCCTACTTTTCTTGGTACATACTGCATGTCTTTGGAACATTTGATGCTTTTTGTAAAGATTGTGTGAACTATTGCCTGAATAAAAATAAAGTCATAGGCTTTCCTCACTTTCCTTTGTAGGTTTATCTTGCATGTCCTTAGCTCCTACCGTCACAGTGGAATCCAATCAGTGGTTCTAAATTGAGGTTGATCTCCACCCACCCACCCTGCTCCCAGATGTTGTTTGGGAGGGTCAGGAGACCTGTTTGGTTGTCGAGACTGGGATGGGGGAGATGTGCTACTGGCGTGTTGTGAGTAGAGGCTCTACTGGTAAACATCCTGTCCTGCACAGGACAGGCCCCCGCAACAAGGAGTTACATGGTCCAAAATATCAGCAGTGCTGTGTTGAGAAACCGGCTTTACATTGTGTCATTAGAAAAAGAACATATGGGGTGCCTGGGTGGCTCAGTCGGCTCAGTTGTTAAGCGTCTGCCTTCGGCTCAGGTCATGATCCCAGGGTCCTGGGATCGAGCCCTGCATCGGGCTCCCTGCTCAGCGGGAAGCCTTCTCCCTCTCCCACTCCCCCTGCTTGTGTTCCCTCTCTCGCTGTGTCTCTCTCTGTCAAATAAATAAATAAAATCTTTAATTAAAAAAAAAGAAAAAGAACATATGCCATCCCTTCATCAGACGCTGCCCTAGACTCCGTTCCTTTGTGTTTCGATCTTGGTCACTGAAGAGTTTGGCAACCTTGAGTTTTCGTCACATCTACTTTCAGTATCTATGTTGAGTTCATGTCTTTCCCCATAGTCACCTGGGTGACCAAACTGTCACTTAGGAGAGGATTGGGACCTAGAACTTGTGCTCTCTCATTTGGCTTGACCAGTGGTGCTTCTAGCCTAGCATTCCATGATGTCTAAGATGTCTGTGGTGATTTGTGAGACAGCTTGGTTGCCCTTTTAGACATTAACCCCAAAAGGTTAAGGCATAAATACTCAGCTAACATGTTAATTAGTAACAGATTTAATTATTAAATCAACATTGGTTTTGGAGCCAGAAGATGCGGATTTAGATGCAGCCCCACTGCTTGCTCGCTGTAGTACTTGGGGCAGGTGTCCTAACCTACCACTCTGAACCCATACATACATGAATCCCAGAGGCTGGAAATTATCCTCTCCCACTGTGCTCAGGGAGCGATTGTAAAGTTATTACCAAC